CGTATCATTTATACCAATATCCGTCGTTTCTATTTATGTGAATATCATTTCAGCTCCCTCTTTCCTTTGTTTTTCTCCTGTCCTGTTTAATTGTTTATGATTACCCCTCCGTTGTTTCCTTTTGTAGTCACAATCACTACGTTGCACACACATACATGCATATCTGTCTTTAGACAATCACTCATTTATTTTTTTATAGGTGATAATTTTCATAGTAAAAAATGGTATTAATTGCTAAACATTTAAAGCAATCATGCTGATGATTTGACTATTTCTTTGTTTGTTATTTCCAAAATTAGTTGTTTGGGCTATACGAAATATAAGCAATGATATACAATACCGACCCAGGACATCTATAATGCGTTTCATCATAGGCTGTTACGTTAAATCAAATAGGCTTAACTAGTAATGCATATCGTTAAGTGAAGTTGTGAACTGTTGTTGGTTGGAATGATGGAGGCAAGGGTCACACTTAATTTTATTTAGTTAAGCACATAGACAATGGCACCAAAATATAAATGTGCCACACAAGAGAAATGAGATCGAGAAAGAGAAAGGAAGGTCATTATAATAAAAAACTAATTGAATAAGAGTAAAAGATAACGCGAAAAGCAGTTCAGTTAAGGAAAATACAACCAGAAATGATTCTTTCAGTTAAAGTTCCTCTCACTTATATGAAGAAAGTAGAAAGCCACAGCAGGACTACCACTAGCTTCTATTCTGAACCATGTTTGGTAAAGTGTAGGGCCACCAAGCTGTACTATCAAGAATCTCAACCAGGTCGTTGTGGAGGATCAACAGTTCTGTACAAACTTTTTCCATAAGACGACACTATGTCATACACCAAATACATTTCCTCTTTACAGCCAGTTCCAGCGTTGGTCAACAATACACAATGTGGAATTTGCTTAAATGACATTCGTAGCACTTGTCCAAGCTACCAAAACCGGTGTTTCAAGATGGTGATGCCAAACGAATTATTATCACTGCCCGGGCACACCTTGCCGAACCTCCTTGTATTCGACACATTGCCGCCACTGAATGTCAGTAATCCTTTGGAAACAATAATGATTGGACACAGTCGTCTTGCATCCTCAACTCGGAGAGGTCAGGTCTTACAAGCATAGAGTAAGATTGCTCTCATTGATGCATGGTAGGTCGGATCTTCAACAGCCAAATTAACATCATGGTGCCAAAGATGGCCCAGCTTGGCATAAGCTGCTCTCGTTTTCACTATACATGGATTGATCTCATCAAACACGCCACCACCAGCACTTAGCTATCCATATACATGATCTCGACCACTTCTACTGCTCACTACCAAGAGTGGACGCAAGTTCAGGATCCTCCCAGTTTTGTAAAAGTACTATTCACTTAGAAAGTGGAAAACACACACCATACCCACGGACATTGCCAACTGATTAAGTGCGGATCGCATGCCTTGGTTATCATTGCACAGTGAAACAATATCATCTACATACTCAAGATCGAAAAGTCCTCCTCCAGGCAACAGATCCACACCACTATTACCTACATCAATCAGATCTGTTTACAGTCCATCATCGATAACAAAGTTGGAGAGAAATGGTGAGATTGGACAACCCTGCCTAACCCCACTACTCGAATTAAAGAGGTGGTTGTATCCATTTATTCTGCCTGGGGTATTTGTATTCAGGATGTTAATAAACTTTCTAGACACCCTCCCCCCGACTTCAGTAGACAATCCCAGAGAATAGTCCTGTCCAACGAATCGAAGGTGGCTCTAATTTCAAGAAACACAACAATTGTTGGCCTGTAATAAGTATGAGGGTGTTCTAACATTTAGCGGAAGGTGAAGATATGAACTTTCATTTATATGCGTCAGCACATTAACGATGAGGCCAGTAGTAGTTATCATTGATTTGTGTGAAGGCTGTGATACTGCCCGTGTGCTTAAACATAAGGGAAAATATGATCAATACTTCGTCGACCAGAATGGAAACTAGCCTACTCCTCTCGAAGTAATCTCCCACGAGTTTTGAACAATCTGCGAAATATGACGGGAGCTAATAATGTGAACGCAATCGGAAGTAGACTTATCCCTCGATAGTTGTTCCATAGGTGACGTGAACTCTTTTAAAAGATAGTGATAGCTATCAACTTATTCCACGATGTCGGAACACTGATTGCAAATAACTTGGTCAGTTCCATAGTCAGTAGGTCGCTACCATCCTCAGAAAGCGCCAAATATAATTCAACTGGGCCTGATGATTTGTGGCGCTTCAGGAGTTGGAGTTTCTTGCGCACTCCCTCCTGTCTTGATGGATTAGTTGACACTGCGCAGAGAGGACAAAACAATCTGGTCGATGTCGCCAGGGCAGCAAACCAGCTAAACTGTTATTCGAAAAACTCCAGCGTCTAGGATGTCGATTGGTGTCCCATCCACTTCACAGATCACTTGCTGTCAGTAGCACGGATAGGTTAAAACAGATTGAAGTTAATCTGATAATTAAATTTGCTCAATGAAATATGCGAGATATAAAAGATTATGCTCAACATGTATTCAATTACTAGACCAAAGTGGCTACGTACAATATGTCGTTCAGTCAGCCGCTCAGCTGAATCTTATGTAATTTTATACTCGTTGAATCTTCTCAAACCTTTATTTTCGTCACCGTATAAAAGCAAAGTGCTCTAGATATCAGGATTTCTGTTTACATTATTGGCCGAGTATCACGTTTTATTTTTTATAGAGTGGAGGATATATGCTTAACATAAAATTGTTTTGGCTGTAAATGTTAGTGGGATGTTCACATATTAAGCTTCATTTTACCCGTGAATTAGTTTGGACCTTAGATCCAGTGACTAAATGCACAAACACAGATTAGTAATATCATTTGTACACTCAGATAACTTCAGGTAGCTCCAAGCATTCAGAGAGGTAGCGCCGCTCTCAGACGCTTATCTGATGAAATCTTCCGAAGACCTTTTTTTACCTAATATTTAAATACAAAGAAGCTAACTACAAGTTAGTTACTGTTCACATTTTTGTGCTCGTTATATACGTCTAGACGAATAACTGTCCCCTCAAGATTATTTATAGGTGTGCCTATTGGATTCCAACAATAAATTTTGTAACTTGAACTAATTACCACTTTTAGATCGCAGTAACTTCGAACGGATTGGCCTGCTCCACATTATAGAGATATGCGAGGTATGACTAGCAGTTTGCATACAAGGCTGCAATAAATATGGATGACTTACAGAGATGTTGGATGCAAATAGTAACTGCGATGGTCGAGACAGTCAGTCTTGAGGTCTAAGCAGAAGAGTTAAACTATGTTGAACAGTGCATTGATAACCTTATTAGAATAATTTTCAAACGTAGACAATAATTGTAGCTTAAACTGCGTGTTGATATCCAAACTAATGTTCTACGTACTTTAATTTGTAAATTAACGTTGGTTTAAGGCAGCATTTTCAGTTAGAAGTATTACATCAACCCATTGCTTAAATGGCTTAAACATAAACTTGATTGCTTCGAACTTGTTATTCATTGACAGGTCCTGTAAATAGATTCAATCTGTTGTGATAACAAACTAATTGTAAGGCTGCAAGGGAAACCGACTTAAGAAAGTATGCTTAAAGAAAACTAGGTAAAAAATATCTTTCTGAATATTCACCGTAGACACACAACCTTTTTCGAACAGCCATCAGTTTTTTTTATTATTCCCTAAACGACATTTCATTCTAACCTTAGAACCAATTTATTGAACGTATGAACACAGTTTCCAAATGAAAAAAATGAAGCTAGTGACTGTAACGTGCGTTTGTTTTATAAATGCAGGTATTATTAGACCACACTTGCTAATAACGCGTCAATCAGTTGAAATGTGTTTAAGATTTAAAGTCACTTTTAGAGTATTTATAAAGCGGTATAGTGTAATAAGACGTGGATTATCAGAACTATGTGAAATATTGGCGCAATACATTTCGAACAATCTGATCATACAGTCCTGATAATCTTCGTCCTCTTATTACACTATCCAAATTTACCAAAGGGACTAATTGCTCCGAAGTTGTCTAAATTTATTAGCACGACCTCTGGGTCAGTTTATTAGTGGAATGAAACCGTTAGCTTATATATACATTGTAAAACAGTTAACTAAAAACGAACTGCAAACAACCTTATATTTGTATGCAGACTTTGTAATTTAACTTGATCTGGTTGTTGTTGGAATTGTTTTTTTATACAGGGAATGTTAGCTTTGAAAAACTATTTGACTGTCGAATGGTAGTCATACTAACTTAATTGTCGTTCGTTTTTTCCTATATTTTAATGAACAGTTCATACACCTTAATCCATTTATTTTGCCAGATAGTGATAGGGATTAATAGAGCATTACTGGTATCAAAAAAAGAGAATACTAGTATTTATCGCTACTAGATCATAACATTTGATTGCATAATACTGTATAGACAACGGACATTTGAATTAACTGTTACACACGTTTATTTACAGCATAAATCGGAAATAATTTGAAGGGAAAAGTCTTAATACCGATAACAGTAATTATATGACATTAAAATGATGCAATAAATTTACACTTGGTTCAAAAGAATAAAAACATATTTTACTGTTTTTATGGTGATACAAGTTGTCACTACATAAAGCTTTTCGGATACGTTGTTCCTAAATTATTGTTCAGTCCAGTTTGAAAAGGCGTAAACATTCAAATATAAGTTACATTATGATATTTTTTGAAAATCAGAAATTCGGGAGTAAAACACTTATTCGCCTTACATTATCTTATTAATTGCTTTTAAAAACAGAAAAAAAGGTTATTAAAACTGTCACATAGCTCTAAAAAAAACGTTCGTTCATAAAAAAAAATTAAGGATTGGACGATAAGATATTGAAAACTGAGCAATCATATTCAAAATTATTGGTCATTCATTTTTTTAACGTCAGGGTTTAGGTTAGTCTAAACGAATCAACATAACTGAACAGTATGAATACATCAACCTTGAGGAATAGAGAAGAAAAATGTATATTAGTCAAATAAACCGATTGAGTTTTAGCAAATGATAAATTTGGAAAATAGTGACAAGTATTTCTAGTGGGAAAAATCTGGATTTGGAATCTAGTCCGCTTAAAATTGACTATTAGTGTACTTGCCTTTATTACAGAAGGATGAAATTGCACGTATAACAGGAATTTGTGAAAAGAATTATTTTAAGTATCCACTATACCAATAAGGAAGGACAGACGACAGAATTCAGTAAACAATAGCGAGTACATAATATAAAACAGTTTACTATCAGTAAGAAATGAGTTTACTTTGGTTTCAATTTAATGTCGATGCGAATAACTATTTTGGACAGTGACTCAGGTTTGTATCATAAATGTCTTGTTAATGAAGAACATCAACAGGCTCTGTTTCCAAGTTATAGTGCGCTCCAGTTTCCAGCACCTGCGTAACAACTTGGACCCGAATAAATAACAAATATTAGTTCATTTCTTTTTGGTCGTGACAACAACGTAGTACTGGATTCTCTTTGTTCATAGAAAGGTTTTAATTTACATTACCTTCCAATCTACTATTTCAAACAAGTGTTCTCTAAATACATATCTGGTTTATTATATCTTTAGTATTCCAATTCTTGAAATTTACATAATTTAGATAAAATAGCTGAAGAAAATACAACTAAATAAACAATCAATCATATAAAACTTTTTGGTTTTGACTTGTTAATTTATCATTCTCAATTTATTAACAGTCTGTAAAGGATACTATATTATGTAGAATAAGCATCTCCGTTTCAACGAAATATTTCACTTATGGGCTTTGTTGAGAAGTACCATCTATTAATACTAGTACATTATTTATGAAATTATGTCCATCAATCCGAAATTAATTATGTTATAGATTGTCCCTTAAAAAAATAAGTCGGAGAAATATTCTAAGCGAAGTACTGAACAAGCTTTTGATAAAAGTCAAGACATATAAACTAGAGACGTCGGCGAATTTATACAAGGGATCAACTAACTGGTCGAACTTATAGCCAATTAGTTCAAACGCCCGACTTTTATACACTGAATTAGATATTCGAACAGTAGTGTACGTATATTGATTTACGGAAAACTACTTAGAGTCAGGTTATTTACAAATATGTATCTGAATACTTATTATCGATATTTTGACTACCAAAATATACGTCAAATTTGTAGTGAAATCAATGTCTAACTCATATTTGATATTTCCATGAGACCTGAATTCGATTTCATCTGAAGTTGTAGGTGTGCAATACTGTTAAATATCAATGTTCCCTGATATTTTGGCAGGTTTATGATATAAGTTACTTTTATAAAATTACTTTAGCTAAATGTGAGAAAATTGACAGTAAAAAATACATACATGTGAATATTATTGGCTCCAAAACGCATATAATAACTTACACGTAACGGCAACCATAAAGAAATCTTTCTATTTTATTTATCCTTTTAAACTAAACTTCACTATCCATTCTTTTTTATTATAAATTAAGAACTTTTCAAGTGAGAAAGACAAACCCTTATTACCTTGACGCATGATGTCAAGGTTATGCATCAAACACAAAGACAGATTGTGTGCGTAAAACAAACACAATTCACTTAATCTTTTCAGACAATACGCAACGTACAACATTAGAGTAAAGTATAGTACACAAGGGAGCAGTAGTCCAGTGGTTACGGTATTTGACTTTCAGACACTAAGTTCCAGATTCAAACCCCGTTTAACTTACTTTGGTTTGGGCAACCGCGCAGAATCATTAGCCACATACTTAGTGTGGCTCATTTCCAACTATCTGGTGGAGTTAATGTAATTTTTTATTTAAAAAAAAACAGTACACAGTCAATATTCATTCCTTTTACAATAAAATAAATACTGAATTGTAAAATATCGCACGAATGCCTGTTTTCTAGTTTGTACATTTTCATAATAGATTTTGGCAGATATTTTATAAGCTTAAACAAATTATGGACAAGCATAGAATCTGAGCCTTTGTAGTACCGTATAATTGCGAAAATCAGGTGATCACTACTTTAGGATAAGAGTCATTTGTAAGCCTATTTTTTGTAAAATAATTAGTTCTTTGTTAATTTTTGTATACCTATTGTTATATCCGAACGAAGATTAAATCACGAGTAACTTCTGAGACATGTTCATTGACTAATATTATCTATACATTCTTATGGTATAACTATTCAATAAATAGATTATCTATATTTATATTCCTCTTATTGTGGGCTTTATTTTGACCAATAATTTATTATTGTACAATTTACTGTTTTTAGGCTATGTTCAGTTTATTGACTACTGCCTCCCACGTTCACAGTCACTTTTTGGCTTTATTGTGTATGAATGTTATTTCCTATTTTATGGTGCGTTGCGGTCTGTTTGGTTGATATACAAACTCAGTATGTCTGAAATAAAGGATTCGATTCGATTCGCATAGTGGAAGCTGGTATTGGTGTCTTGGACTCAAGTGGATGGGCTAGGCGGACATAGGACCAATAGGGACGCTAGGCTGCCCATACCGGTCGAACGTCATTGGTTTGGCACAGTGCTAAGATTTTATAAGTCGTATTTTGATTGGTGGATAAACCATGTGATAAAAAGGCGGACATAAAGTCGCATTACCTGTAGTAGAAAAATTGGAGTACACTAAACTTTACTAAAATCAAACTACGGACTTTTAAAATATTTACCACCCATAATACTGACACAATGATGTGGATATTAGGCATTAGTAATTCATTTTATAACCGGAAACATCACTTCCGCATTTTACCTAAAGCTTGAATATAATTAAACTTCGATATTAATCTCCACTTCTCAAGAACGGAAAAAAAGGAGGCAACAATCAACAACGGACGAACAAACCCATAGAAAGTCAACGAACAGGCCGAATATACGGAAGCAGATAGACAAGTGAAGCGGGACATTAGCGATGACAAGGGTAAATATGCAGAAGACCTACCAGCTACACCGGAGAACGCTGTAAGAGAAGGACACATGAGAGAAATGTGTGGCACAACCAAGAAGCTTGCAGGGAAGTACAGTGGAGCACAAAGACCAGTCAGGGACAAAAAAGGGAAACTAAGCACTGGAACGAGTGGGTAGAGCACTTTGAAGAGATCAGCACCACTGCACTCAACGGACATCAAAGCATCATACAGAGACTTTTTATAGATGATATCCGACTGGGAATAGGAGGAATTAGCAAGGTCATCAAACAAATACGGAATGCCAAAGCAGTATGGCCAAACAACACATAAGCTGAAGTATTAAATTCAGATATAGAGACAATTGCAAACATATATGGAAAAGCAACTGCCCAGAGACTGGAAAGACGGATAACTCACCAAGATACCGAAGATCTTAGTAAGTGTGAGAATTACAGAGGAACCATAATACTGTCAGTACCAGGCTAAATATTCAGCTGTATTTTGCTAAACCGAATGAAAGATCCACTAGACGCCCAACTTCCAGATCAAAGAACTGGCTTTCGCAAGGATCAAGCACATAACAGCTTAGCCGCATTACTGCCAACCGTTTTTCAATAATCAATCGAATGGAACACATCCCTTTACATCAGCTTCCTTCATTATAAGAAAGTAATCAGCATTGTGTATAGGGAAACCTTGTAGAGAAATCTTTGACACTATGGCGTACCTGAGAAGATTGTCACCATCAACTTATGATAATGACTGTTAGCAGTTGTGAGAGAACTCATACACGAATAACAAGATGAGTTATATATTTAAATAAAACATCACCAAGCTAAATGTTCACTTACTAAAACATTCAACTGCAAAACCATAAATTCGTAGATTCAAGCCTCGCTATTACAGTAGCTTGATACTATTGCGCAATGCCATATAAAAAGTGTGACTGAAAGCCGAGTGGATGAATGTGCACTTCGTTTCTGAGTTATTTTTTTTTAAATATTGAATTATGTACAATATGTATAACTGTGACCCAATGGTACCTTCGTTTAAGGTATCATATTGGTTCCTTCACATGATTTTCTTCTTGAACAATTTTTAGGCGTAGTAACTCGAAACATTTTATAATGTAAGATTCTATATTCCACTCATGTTCGACATTAGAATAGCTATTCTCGCGTTTGTTGTAAGTTAGCATCTAGGCATATGTTCACGTTAATTTACCAGAGTAAAGCAGATTATAAATACGTAGAAAAGAAATAACTAGCGAATTATTTTATGCATAACCAAATTAAAAACAAGCTTACTTGTTTTTAATATATGTAAATTATGAAGAAACCATTGCGATCGAATTGGGTGAAACGGTACCTAGATAGAAAAAATAATATAATTTTTACTCCATAGTAAACGCGATCGAAAAAATGTGCATTTTACGCATCCAATAATTTTATAGTGATCAATGAAGAATATTGTATATACCAATATGTATCAATGTTCTTTCTTATCATAATGCATTATGATACAGGGCTACTAAAAGCATTAAATGTGCGGTTCCATATTCAAAGCATTGCCGAAAAGGGGTTCAACAAACTAATCAGTAACTCTAACATCGGGTAAAATATTTTAGGGAAAAAAGTGAGTCGGCCAAAGAGGTTTCTCTTACACGAATTTGATAACGGTATAGATATAGACAGATACCAAATAACTTCATAATTGTCCACCTCACCTTGTGAAGGAATATAAACTTGCAACAGTTAAGATTATTAGCTTGGAATAAAGACTATATGCAGTCGTAGGCATTTCCAGCAACAAACTAGACGAATTCACCAACATTTCAGAAAGGTGAAACTATTTTATGTTCTATGATTATCCAGACTGGATTTCTATCAACAGTAATAGTGAGGGTTAGTGTTACTAATTTAAAGTAATTTCCTGATAACATGCTGATTCAATTTACGTTAATTTTTGTCATGTAATGCTGTTTTAGTAAGTCCACACACTCAGACTCAAGCTATCCCGAAATGAGATAGCTGTAAAGTCAGTGATCGATTAGATGAGTTATAAAAGGCAATCAAGACTTTATGCTGGAGGTGAAAAGTGAAAGCTTCTACCTAAAAAGTTTTAAAATTCAGAGTGTATAGAAATTTACTCTCTGCCTTCTGATTAATCAGTAGAATTTCGAGATCGCATCGAATACTAGCAAACATTTTTCAAAAAGTATACCTAATAGATATAATGGAACAGAGTACTGTTAATTTCTGTAAAATCCCATTGTGTTGATAACAATAAACGTTAACTCAATAAGTGTCTCATATATTACCACTCGATTCGACAGATGCAATTTGTCCACCAGAATGTTGCACTACACGTTCGTGTTGTTGAAACTGACTAGAACCACTTATTCCCATATGATTTTGTGATGTAACTTGTAAATTATTTGGAACATGAGAAGCAGAGGAAACAAGATACTGCTGATACATAATAGGATTCCCAACAGTAGATATTGTTGTAGGACCGACTGCCATAGGTACTGGATGCTGAACTGACGAATTAACTGAAATTTGATGAGGTTGTCCAACAACAGACGACTGGGACAGATCCGATGATGCGTTAACTACAGATAATGGATAATTTGGTGCAGAGTCTTGAATTTGATTAGGTTGAGTCAAACCGGAAGGAATTGGATGTGAACAATTTGTTGGTCCGACTGCAGGCTGCGTCGCTGTACGGTCAGCAATTGTGGCTAAATAAATAAGATTACGATGTAAAACACGTTCTAATTCCACTGCTTCTTTAACGGCTCCAACTCTTTGATGTGCCATAAGACTGTGTATAAGTCGGACGTTCTCATCTAGCATCTATAAAGGAGAGGAAAATATCAAGGTATAGAATTAGAAATTCACAAAACCCATAAACACCAAAGTTCAAGTAAAAGCAAGAGAAATTTATTAAAAACAACATACGTCAAACAATACCATAAGCTAAAATGATGGAATTTAAGAAGTAGGCCTGTGGTGTGTGCTACTTATATTGATATAAGTAGTATATGTCGCGAGTTAAAACGTAATATCTGGCAGCAGAAGATGAGGTGAAGATCAAGAAAGGAAGAGCGAGAGCACAATGGAATTTGTAAGAAAACGCATGTACAATGGAATGGAAGACAATGGATTAGTGTTTGCAACGGAAACAGTCCAGTTTGATATGATGCATTGATATTTTGCAAATTGACGATTGACTTTATGGTATTCAGATTTTATTGATTTAGTCTGTAATTTTCATGCTAAACACATCCGATTGTCCCCACCCGTGTTCTTGTTCACAACAGGCCAATTAAAGTTTAAAAATTGGAAATAGATGGTGAACTTTTAAAACCTCAGAATGACTTGCATATAAAAGTGAATCACCTTACAAAGTATTACTTAGGAAGCAATACAGTTACTGTCCACTGAAATAATGTTACGAGTTATGAAGCCAGCAGTAAAATCAAGCTGAGGTTGGTCAATAGCTAGAAATTTAGGGGTGGAAATCTATGGAAATTTCTAGTACTCTTTAGCATCTAGCATCAACAAGACATCTGATTACTTACTAAGGACTGAACAACCAATTCAATGTGACTAACTTTTTTCAAAGGCTGAAATATCTTTCACAAGAAGAATGCAGAAGCACTAAAAGAACTATGTATATTTCCCAACAGAGATAAGCTTTATAAAGGTTATCTGTAGAGTAGTTATATCTACAATCTGCCTCTATGAAGTGCATTGGACTTTAATTAGATGGTTGTCCAACTTTTCACGAATTTTTAGCATTAGTCTTACCACAAGATAACATGAACTATCATATATCTGAGGTTTTGACTAACTAAAAGCACCACAGTGACAATAAAACCAGTTTATATTATTAAGAAGTGGACCATTCAAGTAATTTTAAACCAAATGATTTGGAAAAGTATTATTAAACATCTAAATGTGAATCAATTACCTTCTGAATCGACGAAGGTTGTATAGGCTGCTCGCGTCGCAACTGTCCAGGTTGCATGGAGATAGTTAGAAGACTTTTAGATGGAGATATATCTATAATAATAATAATAATAATAATAATAATAATAATAATAATAATAATAATAATAATAATAATAGAAACAACAATAAGTTATTATAAGTAAAATATGCACTCATATATTATAATTTCGTCTATGGGATGCCCTGGTATGGCCGAGAGTGGGGTGGGCCCGCCCTCCCTCTTGAAATGCTCTCACACGGCCACACGTATGCAGCCTCTGCCAGGGAAGTCCTACTCACTGCCTTCTCGTGCAAGAGGTGTTGTTTGCGAAATTGAGAGGACGAAAGGAGAATGTCTGGCGCTTTAACCGGATTCCAAACCAATGATGCACATGGGCTCCAGTATCCTGAGGGAACAAAAAGGGGGTGTATGAATCAATCGTTGGTCACCGGCTACCATGGAGCTGCATCTCCTCACGATGCTCCACTACCTTGTGGGTCACACCTTTAGGTCCAAGGCTCGGGGTGTGGCCCCCTAAGAAAACCACCTGCTTCGGTTTGGGCACCCGGGCAGTATCCCAGCCCTCACACAAATCGAAAGATTAATATGGCGCATATCTATTTGGTGCCTCCTTGTACCAATGTTTATTTGTTTAAATAAAATATAAGAAAAATATACAGGTTAATTGGAGCAGGTCGTTACATCCAGAACTTAATATCTTTTGAGACACGTGAAAACTATTTATAATGCTTGTGGAGTGACTGGCGATGTTTCGCAGTTTAATTTATCTGAAGTGTTAATTACACATGTCAATAGAAATTGGTCACACGGACAAGAAAGATATTGGAGTAATCTATCATTACAGATTTCGTAAGTAAAGAACTACTTCATGAGCTAGTAAATAATCTAACTTTATCTGTTTTAATATATATAATATCATTTCGATTTAAATAATTATACCTATCGTGTAGAAATAAAGTACTGTTATATCATAAATATATTTGACAATATTTGGTATAGATTAAGAAAGTCGATACAACCATATATTTACACAAGATAATAGTATCTCACGAAGTGACCAAAACGTAAACGCAAAAATTGCAGTATGAAGTAGAGTTGTACAACATGAAGCGCAACTTCCCAGTTCATCAAACTAAAGGTTCAAGCGCATATAAAGCCACACGAATTAAAAGCTGAGTTACTTGGATATTGAGTGAAACGGTAGAGTAAGTGCACTCATTTTTATGTTCCCTTACATCTTGAGTTTTAACGTCATTACATACATTTTATTCCGCGAATTCATTCCTTTCTTTTGAACGATAATCATGTTTGGTTATTCATTACAATAGTTAAGACTACAATGAACAATATCAGAAGATCGAGTAGTATTAATCAGTGAATTGACATTTCGACACCAACAACTTATACTACAATGTCTGCAACCGGATTCTATTGAAAGTCAAAAGTCGACTAAACACTATATGAGCAACAGATATCCCGTCATGAACAAAACAAGAATCGTCGACAAATCAGCAAGTGACCTGAGTCAGTCCTGCTAAATATAAAGACGTTGGATTTAAATCTATTAACAATGACATCAAATTACATATAGCCTGTTTTAAGTACTAAAGCCTCGAAGCTTTTAGTGATAGACGAAGAAATAATGAACAATATTAAACAATCAGTCAGTAACAACGCAGAACTTCGAACGTACGTACGTCAGTTCGAGTTGCCACACCCCGTTAGCACAGAGATGCAGTACTCGATTCAAATCCCGTAGTGGTAGAGGTAGTAAGTTTCAGAAGCATATCTAGTGGAGGGTTCAAATCCCTTTATACCTGAATCAGAACGTAATATTTGTAACGTGTCCGGCTCACAGCAAGAAAATACTGTGCTGAATGCACATGAAGTTGTGACAATACCAGATGATCAGGAGCCAGGTCCTGTAGATGAAGCCCGGAGTCCAGAATCAAATGAAACACTACTGGTACTGTCTAGCTGCGAAAATAAACGTCAGCTCGAACAAAATTGTGGTCCACGTGCTATTAGTCGAGAAAGCTATGGTGACTCGTATTCAGAAAATAACTGGAGCAACACGATGAACCAAATTGTACCAGATGTTACTCAAAATCACCGGAAGACAGAATTTTATATTGAGTCAACTTATCCCATTTCTAATGACAGTGTACCAGATATTGATTCTCAGAATAATGCATATGATTTTGATGAACCGTCTTATAACAATGAGGGAAATATGTCAGCTGAGTCGAATGATGGCCAAAAATCTAATCTAATTCTGTTAGACGTTGACTTTCTTAATGACTCGTTATCAGCTAACGAGATTCATAATGAATTTGAAAATAATGAACTCAGATCAAAGGTTGTTCATCATCATCTAGTCATTTTTAGTGGATTCTCCAGTCAATACGAGAAACATGGTTTAAATAAAGTCCTACTAGTTATAATTTGGAGCCATAAGGACCCAACATTATTTCGAGGAGGAGGAGAATGTTGGAGAATTAGAAGTTATGCATACTTTTTTTTAAGAAAAATCAAAACGCCGGGAACAGACATGTCAGTCTCTGTGCAAGGAAAAAGTGAGAATTCTTCATTGCCTAGACGATGGACTAATCGAAAGCACAAGCCAGTCACTCAGTTGCAGTTGGACCCTAGCACCAGATCCTACGAATCTGCTCAGAGGGGAGGTGTTAGCGGGACATAGACTAGACCAAAGCATGCTCAATGCATGATTGCTTTGGTGCACGCTGATTGGCTAATTCTTATCCAGTATAAGCAGTAATCGGAAAGATTAGGGTTTGGAGATGTTATTTAAAGAGTATAATCCAGTGAGATGAATTTGTAAAGAGAAAAAATAGAGACAAGGAGGAATCAGGAGATTAGAATTTGTGAGAACACAAAGAATGGATGCATCTGCGCCATTGCAAACGATTTTGAGCCACGTCATTCAAGGTCTCTAACCATCGGTTGCTTTCATCTCGCGGTCTCCAACCACGTAGTCTACACCTACCAACATGGCTCAGTCCAATTGTCAGTGACTTCATGGACTTGTGTCATGTTTTGGTCTGGCAGCCCCTAGCTTTCTTCCAACCTACTTCTATGCCATTGAACATCGCACGTCGAGGCAGTCGGTCGTTGAGCATACGTAACACATGTCCCAGCCATCTCAACTGATGAAGTTTCACTACTTCATCAATTGGTTTGCCATCCATACCTAGTACCCGTTTCCTAACAACTGAGTTACTTACTCGATGGTCCTGGTAGAAGTTCAACCCCTGGAAATTTAGATGAGGAAAGTGTTATCTCTAAAAGTACATCAACGACAAAGTTAAACAAGAATGGAGATAGTGGGCAGCCCTGACAAACACCAATTGAGGTAGTCAATTCTGATGACAGTTCGCCATAAGCCCTCACTCTACCAGTTGTGTTGGAGTAGAGAGCCTTTACAAGGTTAATGTACTTCTTTGGTACTCCTTTCAGTGACAAGCACGTCCAGGTCGAAAACCAGCCTGGTTTTCTCTAGTCTGCTCTTCACGAGCTTTAGTTAGGCGTCGAAGTATTATTGAAGCTAACATTTTAGACACTATTAGTCAAACTGATTCCTCTGTGATTGTCACAAGAGGACTTTTGTCCTTTCTTAAAGACTGGCACAATCAGTGATTGAGACCAGTCAGATGGGATTGCGTCCAGTTCCCAAATTCTACCTAAGACCTCAGTTAATCTCACTGCTAATACTGGACCACCATCCTTAAAAATCTCAGGAGTGAACCTGTCAGGGCCTGTTGCTCTCCCTCGCTTCAGATTTCCGATAGCTTTTTCAACTTCATAAAGAGTCGGAGGACCTTCATTAACTTGCCATTCAGGTCGACTGGAGATCGTGGGAAACCGAAGTGTGGCTGAAGGCCAGTTGGACTGATCCCTAAAGTGTTCTGCCCATCGATCCAATCTCCTGGATTGAGAATGTATAATATGTCCATCTTTCTCTGAGATTGTTCCTAATACCGGTTTCCTTAACAAGTCTGAACAATTGCCTGCTATTTCCTATTGCCGCTGCCTTTTCCATCTCTCTTGCTTTCGCTACCCACCACTGTTCGCGATCATTGCGTAGGCTTCTTGTCAGCTTGCGCTTAAGCTGACTCCGCTCTTCATTATGTTCAGATCCAGATGGAATTAGTTTTCGAGCATCTATCAGTGCGGTTGATGCTGCTGAGATCCAGAGTTGTTTCCTAACCTTACGGTTTACCGTACTAGAAGATATCACTGATGTTTCCACAGGTTTTCGGATATGATTCCATGCTGCCTCGGGGTGGGCTTCACCTACATGGCTGCCTGACTGTTTTCCTAGTTGTTCCTGAAATATACTCTCAGCTTGACTATCATTAAGTAGGCCCCTAAGAGGTTTCCTTGCAGCGTCTTTCTTACGTCCAGTAAGACGCAGGCAAATGCGCGCTCGTACTAGAGCATGATCTGAATCTAGGCATGTGCTCCAGAATGAGCGACAGTCTTCTATCGAGGCCCTCTATCGGTGGCTGATAGCGATGTGATCTATTTGGGTCCAACGTTGGAACGAATTAGGGGGTCGCCATGTTAAAAGATGTTTTTCCTTATGCTTAAAGTTAGTATTTGCAAGAAACAGGCGGTTATCTGAGCATAGCTACAACAGACAGTCGCCATTATCTGTTCTTTGAGCTATGACACCATAAAATCCACCTAGGTGTCTTTTGCTTAGTTTACCTACTTGAGCATTAGTCACCGGCCATTATTACTACATCAGAGCGCCTAGCTTTTCGTAGAAGGTCGGAAAGCTTTCTGCAAAACTCATCTTTTACATCATCTGAGCTGCAGTCAGTAGGAGAATAGACAGAGACGACGAAGAGGCAACGACGAGTGTCCCTATCTTTCCGAGTCCTTATTGTTCCGTTTAGTCGGACAGCGCACAAACTACTGTCTACTGGGATCCACTCTAAGAGAGCTAGTTCTGCCCTAGGACTCAATGCTATACCTACGCCGGCGAGTTG